CTTATACCTGTTCGATTTTTAATTTTTTTTTTAATTTTTTTATGGTTTAATGTTGAATTTACCAGCATTAATGAACGTGGTCGCTTGGGATGTCTACTAAGGAGCCACCCCGAAAAATAGAGCCAACAGGTATTTCAAAATCAAATACATCCAAAGATTGCTGTAAAATATTTTTTTTATGAGAAATTCACAAGGTGCCAGTTACTATCCTCATAAAACCATGTATTCACAGACTTAATGTATCTGTCCAATCACAGTCTTCCCAAATGCAGCTCAATCAGAAGTCTTTGCAAGGCAGCTGCTCTGGGCAATTGCTGCCTCTTGAGTTTATCTCCACTGAGCTAAACAAACCAGGAAGTAACAGGACAGGTTGTATGATATGAACACACCTGTACTGGCAGAACCTACATGGTACACGGGACCACCCAGCCACTACCCTCAGGAGCGCTCCCGTCCTACGTGTTACAAGTGCAAGCAACCGGGGCACCTGATGGCGAGTTGCCCCCTCAACAATAACTACCCCGCACGGAACTATAATTCTCCTTCAACGGGTAACAATCGCCCGGCTCGAGCCTTTTGCCTGGAACAAGACAGTCCGTTGGAAGAGTACCTGGGACCCCTACATGAAGCTAACCCCGTGTATGCCGCCAGCGACAATAGACAACACCACCGGCAAGAGGTACTGCTAGAGGGTCGTCTGACACAGGGGTTAAGAGACACCGGGGCCACGATCACCTTGGTACAAAGCCGGTTAGTTCCCGAGAACAAGCGCTCGCCTGATACAGTGGCTGTCCGGGTGGCTGGAGGGGACATATACAAACTACCCACAGCAAAGTTACATTTGGATTGGGGTGCGGGGAAAGGACTTGTGAGGGTGGGGATTATGGATAATTTACCAGCCGAAGTTTTGCTGGGAAACGACCTGGGACCTATGACCTCAGCTTATGCTCCTTCTTACAACGCTGAGGCACATCCCGTGACGACCCGGTCCCAAGCAGGACGAGTTCAAGATCCTTCACCAGTTTGGGAGACGCAGGTAAGACTTAACCCGACTGTGACCACCCCTCCTACCCCATTACCATGGGACACCCCTGCAGCCTTTGAGGCTGAGACCAAAACCAACCCAACGCTCCAAAAGTATAGGGAAAGGGCTGATACAGGGACTGGGGGGTCCGACCAGGAGACTTTCACATGGGAACAGGGCAGACTGTACCGGCACACCGAGAAGAAGGGCCACCGGAGGAGACAGTTAGTGATACCCCACAAGTATAGACGGGATATCCTGCGGGTGGGCCACGATATTCCCTTAGCCGGGCACTTGGCAGTAACCCGTACCCTTCACCGTATTACCCATACCCTGTTCTGGCCAGGGGTACATGCAGATGTGAGGACCTATTGTAACACGTGTGAGGTCTGCCAACGGGTGGGCAAGCGAGGAAACCACCCCAAGGCACACCTCGTTAACATGCCCATTATCGACGAGCCATTTAGCCGGGTAGCCATCGACTTAGTCGGGCCGCTAGCCACCCCTAGTCCCTCTGGTAAGAGATATATTCTTACCATCATGGACTATGCTACCCGCTACCCGGAAGCCGTGGCTTTATCTAATATCCAGGCAGACGCGGTAGCTAATGCGTTAGTGCAGGTATTCTCTCGGGTAGGATTCCCTCGGGAGATCTTATCCGACAGAGGATCTCAGTTCACGGCAGAACTGACCCAGCAGCTGTGGCACGTTTGCAAAATAAAATCCCTTCTTAGCTCCCCGTACCACCCCCAGACCAATGGGTTATGTGAGCGGTTCAACGGAACCCTCAAACAAATGTTAAAAACCTTCACTCAGGAGTATAGAGACTGGGAACGTTTCCTGCCGCATCTCCTGTTTGCTTACCGGGAGGTGCCCCAGGAAACCACCGGATTCTCTCCCTTTGAGCTGCTGTACGGTTGCAAGGTACGGGGCCCCTTGAACCTGATCCGTGAGCACTGGGAGGGAGAGACCGAGAACGCCGGGGTCCCCATAGTTCCTTACGTGCTGGAGTTCCGGGACCGAATGGAGCAATTGGCTAAGTCAGTCCGGGCCAACCTCCAGGCGGCCCAGGGGCGACAGAAAGTCTGGTACGACCAGGGGACAATGCGGAGAAGCTTCTGTCTAGGGCAGAAAGTCATGGTACTAAAACCAGTTAAGGCAGATAAGCTGCAAGCAGCCTGGCAGGGGCCCTACCAGATAGTGGAGAAAAGAGGGGACACTACTTATGTGATTGCCAGCTGTCACTATGAAACCTTAAGAAAGACATTTCACGTGAACATGTTGAAAGAATACCTACAGAGGCCAGAGGAAGTGTCAGCCATATGTAGAGGATGCAGACAATCTCCCCATACCCGACTTATTAACCTCTAACTCCCCGGCTGAAATAGTGAGCCAAGTGCAGATCGGGGACAGACTTAGCCCAGTAGAGAGGGAGCAGCTACACAAACTGCTCCGAGAGAAACAGGCCATGTTCTCCCAAGAACCAGGGTGCACTGAGCTGACCACCCACCAAGTAGATACCCCCGGGCAAAATCCTTTGAGACAGGCGCCCTACCGAATTCCAGAGGCAGTAAGGGCAGGCATGAAAAAAGAAATAGATGAGATGCTACGGCTAGGGGTCATTGAAGCTTCCGATAGTCCCTGGGCATCCCCGGTGGTTCTGGGCCTTCGTCACCCCATTCGGTTTGTACCACTTTAATGTCATGCCGTTCGGGATGAAGAATGCCCCCGCTACATTCCAGCGCTTGGTGTACAGAGTTCTTGATGGCTTCCAGGAGTTTGCCTGCGCATACCAGGACGACATAGCGATCCATAGTGAGTCCTGGGAGGAACACTTGGCTCATGTGGGAATAGTCCTGGATCAGATTCAGGCCGCAGGCCTGACTCTAAAGCCAGAGAAATGTCACTTTGGGATGGCTGAGGTTCAGTACCTAGGTCACCGGGTAGGCTGTGGGAAGCAGCGACTGGAGCCGGCGAAGATAGAGGCGGTCGCCAGCTGGCCCACTCCACACACTAAGACCCAAGTGCTAGCTTTCCTGGGTACCGCTGGGTACTACCGGAGATTTGTACCTGAGTATAGCGCCATTGCCAAACCCCTGACCGACCTGACAAAGAAAAACCTTCCCCGACAGGTCCTGTGGTCTCCCCACTTTGAAACTGCTTTCCAAGCCCTCAAAACTGCTTTGATTAATGCTCCTGTCTTGGCTGCCCCAGCCCCTAATCGACGTTTTATTGTCCATACAGACGCTTCAATGTTCGGGCTGGGAGCCGTCCTCAGCCAAGTAGGAGATGATGGGAAAGAACACCCGATTGCCTACATCAGTCGAAAACTCCTAACCTGCGTAGTCAGCTATGCCGCGGTAGAAAAGGAGTGTTTGGCCCTGGTGTGGGCATTAAAGAAGTCAACCCCCTATTTGTATGGACAAGAGTTCACTCTGGTTACAGACCATAACCCGTTGGTGTGGCTCAACCGGGTCGCTGGGGACAATGGCAGATTGTTACGCTGGAGCTTATCCCTGCAACCCTTTAATTTTACAATCACCTACCGACCCGGGAAGCAGAACGGCAACGCCGACGGGTTATCCCGGCAAACAGATCTCAGCCCAGCATAACTTTACAAGTCTGGACAGCCTTAGTCTGCCCCGAAAAGGGGTCAGACGGTGTCTGCCAGAGTGTTCCACAAAGAGGGAGCATTGTTACAAAAGACTGGAAATCACTATGTTACTGTTTAATAACCGATTGATACTGTTTGCCACTGTATATGTTTAAGCCGAAAGAAACACGCATGGATTACTCGAACCATTATAAAGACTCCATTCGTGGTACGAACGAGGGACCCCCCAGAGGCTGGCGTGTGCCGCCACTTAACCCCGTCACCCCGCAAACTACCGAACGGTCGACCACCCAGGCGGCTGCGGTTTGCAGTTAACCACAACTTAATTGATAGGCCTGGGGGAATCGACGTTCGCACCCAAAGTACTGAACCATCAACCGAACGGCGACCCCCTACAGCGGGTTGCGTGGCGATCATTAGCCTGTGGTTTCTGCGGTTAACCGCAGGTCAAGTACGCTTCTACCAGGTGGTCCTCGTTCCGAGTTCGACTACCAGACAGACAGCGGGGCTTCGCATGAACTGGTACCCGAGTTTAGTTCCACGAGTTAGAAGCGAGGTCTCGCTGCCCGCTAAACTGTCAGAAAACATGGCCGCCAACAGAGACTCACAATCCAAAATGCCGAACGGACTTTATACGGCAGAAACAGTCCATTCTGTTCGTGGGACTGGAGCACCATTCACATGTTTAATATATACGAACGCGAGCCTTTAGATGAATGGTAGAATGAGTGGTTTCCCTTTATTAATGTAAAAGTTATGGATTTTTATGCAGTTTTCTGGGACATAATAAAACGTGGTCTTTTGTGCGCTTGTAGATAATTAGATTGTATAACCGTTGGCCTCATTATCTCCAAGCTGGGCGGGTACTAATTCAAATAATACACTGTATTGTGATTGGATATTTGTCTGTACTGTACCTGTATTCCATCAGGTCCACAGGGGGCTGTCCTTGGACCTGAGGAATCACATAAATTTCCATGCTATGTGCCAGTAAAGCCAGTTCATTTTAACCTTCAACTTGCAGCCTCGACTCATGTTGTAGGGATCCGGGATACTGATGCTTATATCGTGCTTGGGGATATTCTACACTTGCAGCTTACTACCGAAAGACCTCCGTTCGACTCTCTGCAGCGGGAACCAGGACATCCAAGTGATCAACCCTCCTGCTAGACTGTGGGCAATCGTAACAGTGCGTATCAATGGAAACCTATAAAAGAATGCTTTTAATATGCTCGTTGTCATGTTTGCCAAGATCAATATTCTTTTTTTATTATTTTTATAAATGGTGACATTTCTTACATGTGTTATATTTATTTTATTAAAGTCATAATCATTAAACAAATAAATCATAAATTATATGTCCTTTTATTTAATTGTCAGTAAATATTTAAATCTTATATTCCAAAAAGTGATGTTTCTGATTAACCCCTTAAGGACCAAACTTCTGGAATAAAAGGGAATCATGACATGTCACACATGTCATGTGTCCTTAAGGGGTTAAAAGTAAATCTTAGCAATCTGATTATAATGGATTTCATTATGGCACGATTGATTTCCAAATATTTACACCATACCCCCACCACTGGTATACCAAGAAGGATGGACGTAAAGAGGGCGGGCCAGTGTTTAGTGATTTTGGCTACCAATGAAGGAGGCCAGCCCACTGAGAGCAGGACATACTAGGAGCAATGCGTCTGTGCTCTCTGCAGGATCCTAGTGCTGTGAGTGTCTAATGATGCATTTAAGCTACACTTTTTGGGGATAATTCCCCAGTATCTCCAAAAGCAGGACACCGAGGAACAAATTCTAAACGGCAGGACAGAACCCGATAATCTTGACTGTTCGGCTGAAATCGGGATCGTTGGGAGGCATGTTACACATTACAGCTGTTTTTCTTATTTTTGAGAACTTGATATCAGGTAAGCAAGGAAGTCCAGTACTTTTGACAATTGTGATTCCGCCCTGTTAATAGTCCAAATCCTATGGATTTATATTTATAGTTGGTCGACTTATCTGAATCTGGAAAATAGGAAAATATAAAACTGGGTATAGTTTATAAAAATATGTACATTAAAGTTACAGTTTTCATGCAATTCTGTGTATATTCTAAATCCAATACTGCAATTCTGTGTATATTCTAAATCTAGCAATAATACTCCCAGTAAAGGCCCTGGGGAGATAGCACAGCTAAGTGGACAAGGGTACATGTACGAGTGCGGCGATGGATGCATGTGATTGGTTGTGGATGTATGTGTGGGTGGGATTATGTGGTGTGTGAGTTTGTGGTGGGATGGTCTTACCTCAGTGCCACTTGGGATTCGGGCCAGCAAACAGCTTCCCTCCCGCTCGCCCCATTGTTATGTAGTCGCAGCTAGCCGGGGGTGTGACCTTGCTAATTCAGTTTGAGGGGCTATGTCAATATGTGGAATGATGTGGTCAAGTTTCAGGTCTCAACTTCCCCTGCTCTAAAGGGTTAACCTTAGGTTACCTGTTTGGATGTGCACACCGAGCGAGGAAAAGGTCAGCTGGGGTTAAGCATTGGAAGGAAATGGAATTTACGGTCGAGGGGGGAGGTGAGATTACGTGGTGCATAGGCTCATGGTTAGTTTATTATTATTATTATGTTATTATTTATATAGCGCCAACAAATACTGCAGCGCTTTACAGTGGGTGGACAAACAAACATGTAGTTGTAATCAGACAAATTCGACACACAGGAACAGAGAGTTTGAGGGCCCTGCTCAATGAGCTTACATGCTAGAGGGAGTGGGGTAAAGTGACACAAAAGGTAAGGATAGTATTAGACTAATGACAGTTGCAAAAGAGGAATCGGTCGGGAGCTATAAACAGTTTAATTGATACGTTTTTATGAAGAAGTGGGTTTCTAATGATTTTTTGAAGGAGTGGAGACTGGGTGAGAATCAAAGAGAAGAGGGAAGTGAGTTCCACAGGAATGGTGCAGCCCTCGAAGTCTTGAAGGCGAGCATCAGAGGTGGGAGTACGGACAGGAGATAGACGTAAGTCTTCAGCAGATCGTAAGGGCCTAGACAGGACATACTTGTGTATTAGGGAGGATAGAGAGGTGGGAGCAGCATTATGTAGAGATTTGAAAGCAAGAACCAGTATTTTAAATTGAGCCCTATATCTTACAGGAAGCCAATGTAGGGACTGACAGAAAAGGTAAGGTGTGGGAGGTGCGGGCGGACAGGAAGATGAGCCTTGCCGCCGCATTCATTATGGACTGTAACGGTGCACGTTGGCAGCAAATAAGGTGACTGAGAAGCGGATTACAGTAGTCAAGGCAAGAAAGGACAGTGGAAAGGACCTTAGTCGCATCTGGCGTTAAGTAGGGTCGGATGTGCGCAATGTTTTTAAGATGGAAGTGGCAGGATTTGGTGATAGACTAAACATGAGGCGTGAAGGAGAGGTCGGAGTCAAAGAGAAGGCAGCGAGCCTGCATGGTGGAGCTGATGGTAGCACAGTTGACTTGGAGGGAGACAGACACACAAGTAATAACACTAAAGGGAGGAAAGACCAGAATTTCAGTTCTGGTCAAGTTGAGTTTAAGGAAGTGAGCAGCCATCCAGTTAGAAATAGCAGAGAGGCAGTCAGAGACACGAGTCAAGAGGTACAGGGAGAGATCAAGAGAGGACAAATAGATTTGCGTGTCATACACATAGAAATGAAATTGGAAGCCAAAGGAGCTAATGAGTTTACCAAGAGAACAGTAGAGGACCAATGACTGAACCTTGGACACCAACAGAGAGGAGTTGGGGAGAAGAAGCAGAGCCAGAGAAAGAGCGCAGGGAGAGGTAGGAGGAGCACCAGGAGAGAGCAATCTCTTTTAGACCGAGATTGTGGAGGATGAGAGTATATTGGCAAGGACGGTTGGGTTATACTGTATGACACTATGTGTTAAGCTATTTGCTAAGTTATGGTTATTTATGTATAACGTGTGGTTTATATTAAGGAATGATAAAGATTAAAATAAATTACGGATGTGTTATGCAGTATTTTATCATATGTTCTAACAAATGTTGTGGCCTGTTTCATCCATACTATGTTGGCTGTCATCATTTGGGGGGTAAGTGGTATAGTTCTCTGTTGTTATGCGGCATCACGATTCCTCAGTATGTACATACATATTATTATTATTATTATGATATTTATAGAGAGCCGTCAAATTCCGTAGCACTTTACAATGGGTGGACGAACAGACATGCAGTTGTAACCAGAAAAGTTGGACACACAGGAACAGAGTGGTTGAGGGCCCTGCTCAATGAGCTTACATGCTAGAGGGAGTGGGGTAAAATGACACAAAAAGGTAAGGATAATATTAGACTAGTGACAGTTGCAGAAGAGGAATCAGTCAGGAGCTATTAACAGTTTAATTGATACGCTTTTATGAAGAAGTAGGTTTTTAACGATTTTCTGAAGGAGTGGAGGGAGGAGGGAAGCGAGTTCCACAGGAACAGTGCAGCCATCGAGAAATCTTGAAGGCGAGCATCAGAGGTGGGAGTGCGGACAGAAGATAGACGTAAGTCTTCAGAAGATCGTAAGGGCCTAGACGGGACATACTTCTGTATAAGGGAGGATAGATAGGTGGGAGCAGCATTATGTAGAGATTTGAAAGCAAGAGCCAGAATTTTAAATTGAGCTCTATATTTTATAGGAAGCCAATGTAGGGACTGACAGAAGGGTGAGGCATAGGAGGTGCGGGCGGACAGAAAGACGAGCCTCGCCGCCGCATTCATTATGGACTGTAACGGTGCAAGTTGGGAGCACGTAAGACCACTGAGAAGCGGATTACAGTAGTCAAGGCGAGAAAGGACAGTGGAGTGGACCAACACCTTAGTCGCATCTGGTGTTAAGTAGGGGTGGATGCGCTCAATGTTTTTGAGATGGAAATGACAGGATTTGGCAATAGATTGAACATGAGACTTGAAGGAGAGGTCCGAGTCAAAGAGAACACCTAGGCAGCGAGCCTGCGTGGTGGAGCTGATGGTAGCACCGTTGACTTGGAGAGAGACAGACACAGGAGTAACAACACTTGAGGGAGGAAAGACCAGAATTTCAGTTTTGGTCAAGTTTAGTTTAAGGAATTGGGAAGCCATCCAGTTAGAAACAGCAGAGAGGCAGTCAGAGACACTAGTCAAGAGGGACAGGGAGAGATCCACAGCAATAATACTCCCAATAATTGTCTTTAAACTACAACAAATGTGTTTAGAAATCAGTCTGTTGAAATAAGATACTTTGTTCTTCTAAATTAAATTTTAGTTCTATAAAAAATTTTTAGTAAGTCACCTAAAATTCACACCCCTAAATGCTATATCCATCTAAGTCCATGTAAAATGTTGGGAGGTAGGTTAGTGTATATATTTTGATCTGCTGTGTGTGCTGAATAAATACTTTTTTATTACAGGTTAGCAAGATGTGTGCATTACCTACATATTGTAGCCCCATGTAGCCAAAGCGCAGCTAAGCGAAAAAAGGCCTTGACAGGGGTTAGGAGGCGGGCATTGGAGGAGGGAAGGAAGTATGGAGTTATGGATAAGTAGGCTTGGCTATTTAAATAGGCAGCCATTTTAAAGCCTTCACTTTTAATTACTACCTTGCTGAGTTTGTGTGCACTCCTGTGTCCACAGATTTGGTTTGGTGGGGTCTTTGTTTTTCTCTCCTTCTGCAGGGTCGAGGGATAACATGGAGGAGCTGTTGGAGCGGATCCGGTTGGCGGCTCAAGGACGTGGCGTGGACTGGCTGCGGGCGCAACTTGGACCGGCCCTGGCGGGTGCTGCAGATCATGAGGGCGGCGGAGGTCGGCCTGTGCGGGCTCGGAGGCCGCCGAGACGGCTGAGCCCAGGCGCGGAGTCCGGTGGAGACGGTTCCAGTGGCCGGGCGGCGGCGGGACCAAGCCGAAAAGGACCCGGTAGCCGCATGGTTGAGGCTCCGCCTCCCGGCGCGTTACCGGGACGTCGGAGAAGCGGTAGCCGGCGGGAGGCTACCCGGGAGTCGGACGGTGCGGCTCCCAGTTCGGGGAGGGCTGCGCCTGGAGCGGGGGCCGCGGAAGACATCGGGCGGCCCCCTGGAACCGGAGGTGACGCGGGATTGCAGCCCGGGAGGGCGTCTCCTACACCCATGGCGGGGACTGGCGGGGCCAGTGCGGGAGGAGCTCGCGGACCGCCCCTGGAACAGGCAAGTGCAGGGGGTTCCGGCCGGGACCCCCTTGGCGCGAATAAGCGCAGGAGGACTGGGCACAGGGTTCAGAGACCTGGGGTGGACATGGAGAGGGGTCAGGTTCCTTCTAGAGCGGGGGCAGAGAGGCCTAGGGGGGAGGGTGCGCAGGGTAGTTCCAGGGTAGTGAGCATGGAGCAAGGGCCTGTAGCCGGGAGGGTGGAAGGGCCAGGGGGTACGGCAGGGGGAAGTTTGCCATCGGGTGGGGGCAGGAGGTCGAGGTGCGCAGGGCGTTCAGGGCAGGTTAGGGGTGCGGGGTCTGGGGACGGTCTAGAGGTACTGAGGGGAGGGGGTTCTTCTAGCCGGGGGGCCCGCCGGGGTGGGGGGTGGGGATTTCCCTGCGCTGGTGAGCGGCTAGGTGGGCGTAGTTCTGGGGGGGGTTCAGGTTGGGGTCTGGTGATAGCAGCCCGTCACCGGTTAGGGCCCGGGGGTTCGGGGGGGTTAAGGGAAGGGCTCGGCGTGTTGGGTCCTCATCTAGTAGCTCAGGGGGGGAGAGTGTCATGGCCCCCAGGCTGGTTACACGGGGGCGGGCCTCTGGTAGGAACGGGAGGAGTCGTAGTCCCAGAGGCAGGGCCGATCGGGCCTTGGGTGGGCGAAAAGGAGTGGTTGCGCGACGGGAGGCTCTGGTGTCCAGCGGGCGCTCTCAAGGTCGGGACGGGGGGGCTGCTCATGACCAGTATGCTCTGCCCAGGACTTCTTCTCCTCGTTACAGATCTCGGAGCCGCTCCGCATCTGATGTGGCCGGGCACCGGGTTGGCTCCCCGGTTGGAGGATCGTTAACGGATGTCGCTCATCCTGGTCAGGGGACAGTACACAACGCAGCCCCAGGAGCTTCGGGGTCGAGGGGCTTGGCCGGTGAGTCCTCTGCTTCTCTGCACTCCAGTGCATTGGTTCATACACTTCAAGCACTTCTCCACTCACTGGGAGCGGGGGGTGCCACAAAGGGCGGTGTGGGTCAGGTTTGGGCTCAGGGGGCCGGGGTGGCGGGCCCGAGCGAGGTTCCCTCCGCGGAACAGAGTTCGGGTGGGGACACTGCAGTGACGGTTACTGGGGCGGAGGCGACGAGCGAGCGGGCTGAGTTGACGGGGGGGGTGGTTCCTGATGCGGCCAGGCAACACGCATATGTGTCGTTTGCGGGTCCGCTGGGGGTCCACCTCAAACAGGAGGTGAAGGAAAAAATCTGGAAGGGTGACTTCTGCGAGATCTTTTCTCTTCTCCCTTTGGAGGATTTTATCGATCTCAAAGAGGACGATAAAAAAGATGAGAAGAAAGAGGAGGAAGAGAAGAAGAAGCGGTATCGTAAGATTCCCAAGTCTTTCGGTAACTGGCTGAGGGCGTTTTGCGTGTTGGCCAGTGTTCTGGGCGAGAAATCGCCGGGCCTGTGCTCCTCCCTGTTTTGTTATTTGGATGGCATTTGGGAGGCGTATCGCACCTATGGCGGACTGGCATGGTGGCGGTACGACGAGCAATTCCGGCAGCGTTTGGCGGCTAATCCGGGTATGCGGTGGGATCAAATGGACCTGCCTCTCTGGATGAAGCTGATGATGGCGCAAAAAGCGCAGCCATTTCAGCCCACGGCCGGCGCAAAGGGGCAGTCCGCCTCGTCGGCCGCCATGCAAAAGGGCTTCTGCTGGCTCTTTAACGAGGGCCAGTGCAAATGGGGAAACGCCTGTCGCTTTAAGCACGAGTGTTCGGGCTGCGGAGGCGCGCATGGGCTCAACCGTGCTTCAAAAAAGGGAAGTCAGGGCACACCGGGGTCCCTACCTCGGCTGGGGGGGGAGGGGGAGTTTCGCTTGCCCCGGGGCCTAACCCCGGTGAGGCTAGACGCGATGGAGCCGTGGCTAAGCCGCTATGGTAATAAGGCAGATGCCGTGGCGCTCCGGGCGGGGTTTGGTCAGGGGTTCTTTATCCCTTTCCGGAACCGGGGGGGACTGGGGTTCGGCGCAACCTTAAATCGGTGGCTGAGTTCCCGGGTGTGGTGCGGGAAAAACTGGGCAAGGAAGTCAAATTGGGGAGGATGGCAGGACCGTTCCCGGCTCCTCCAATGGAGGGTCTGCGGGTTTCCCCACTCGGGGTGGTTCCCAAGTAGGAACCGGGCAAATTCAGGCTCATTCACCACCTCTCCTACCCGGAAGGAGAGTCGGTGAATGATGATATTGACAAGGACTTGTGCTCGGTCTCCTACGCATCATTCGACAGGGCGGTCGAGCTGGTAAGGAGGGCCGGGCGCGGGGCACTGTTGGCTAAGGTGGATATTGAAGCAGCGTTTCGGCTGCTTCCGGTCCACCCAGCGTGTCATCACTTGCTGGGGTGTTTCTTCGACAGGGAGTACTTTGTGGATTTGTGCCTTCCAATGGGTTGTGCTATCTCCTGCGCCTACTTTGAGAAGTTTAGTACATTTCTTGAATGGGTGGTCAAGGTTGAGGCGGGGAGTGGGGCTGTGGTACACTACCTGGACGATTTTCTATGCGTGGGACCGGCGGGCTCCCCCGCCTGCCTACATTTGCTGAGAACGGTCGAGTGGGTGGCTGGCCATTTCGGGGTCCCTCTGGCGGCGGACAAGACAGAAGGGCCGGCTCCGTGCCTTAGTTTTCTGGGGCTGGAGATAGATACATTGCAAGGGGAGTGTCGGCTGCCATTGGAGAAGTTGCGGCGGCTGAGGGAGGAGGTGACAACGGCGGCTCAAGCCTGTAAGGTTACATTGCGGCAGCTGCAGTCATTGATCGGGATGCTGAATTTTGCATGCCGGGTGATCCCAATGGGTAGGGTGTTCAGCCGGAGCCTGTCGGCAGCGACGGCGGTGGTGCGATCCCCGCGTCACTTCATTCGGGTGTCGTCGGCCATGAGGGCCGACTTGGCCGTATGGGAGACCTTTTTGCGGGAGTTCAATGGGACGGTGATTTTTAGACAGGAGGGCGTGTCGGCTGCGGAACTGGAGCTGTTCACTGACGCGTCTGGTAGCGTGGGCTTCGGGGCTTATTTTGGGGGACGTTGGTGTGCGGAGCGATGGCCGGGGGAGTGGCGAATGAGCCCCCTCATGCGGAACTTGGCTTTCTTGGAGCTGTTCCCGCTGGTCGTTGCGTTGGCCCTGTGGGGGGATAGGCTGCGGGACCGGAAGGTGGTCTTTTTCTCGGACAATATGGCCGTGGTGCACGCTGTGAATAACCAATCAGCGGCATCGAAACCCGTGGTTAGGTTGCTACGTCATTTTGTTCTGTTGTGCATGTCGCTAAATGTTGTTTTTCGTGCACGCCATGTGCCTGGGTTCATGAATGATGTAGCTGACGCCCTGTCTCGTTTTCAGTGGTCACGATTCCGGACGGTGGCGCCGGAAGCCCAAGAAGTGGGGCAGGCTTGCCCAGACGAGATTTGGCGGCTCGGGGCGACCTGCTTGGGGGACTGGTGAAGGCTTCGCTGGCGCCGGCCACATGGGCCGCTTACAGTAAGGTCTGGGACTCCTGGGAAAGGTCATGGGAAGGGTTGGACCGCCTGCCGGCGGGGGAATCGCTCAAGGATGCGTTCCTCTGGTACACCTGTCAATTTCTGGCGAAAGGGGTATCCCCGGCGGTGGTTGACAGGTCCATGGCGGCGATGGCTTTCTGGTTCAAGCTACATGGGGAAGAGGACCTTACTAAGGCCTTTGTCATAAGGCAGGCACTGAAGGGGTACCGGCGGGGCCGCAGGCGGCCTGACACTCGGCGCCCAGTATCGGTGCGAGTGTTGAGTGACCTGGTCGGTTTATTGCCTACTATATGTTTCGACAGGTTCGAAGCATCGTTGTTTCAGGCGGCGTTTCTGTTGGCCTTCTTTGGAGCCTTTCGGGTAGGGGAGTTGGTCAGTGCCACGAGGACTGCGGCAGGGGGGGTACAGGTGTCGGGGGTCCGAGTGCTGGAAGGGAAGGTGGTTGTACACCTGGCAAAATCCAAGACGGACATGTTAGGCAAGGGCCGAGATGTGACGCTGCGGGCCCTGCCGGGCTCCGCTTTGTGCCCAGTGGCCGCAGTGGCGGGGTACATGGCACGGAGGCCGGGGGTTGGAGGATCACTGCTGGTACACGCGGACAGGTCTTCCCTCTCCCGGTTCCAGTTCACCAAGGTTTTTCGGTCTGGACTGGGAAAGCTAGGACTGAGGGTGGATACTTTTGGTACACACTCCTTTCGCATTGGGGCGGCTACGGAGGCAGCTCGGTTGGGTCTGGGGGATGACATAGTGAAACGGATTGGGAGATGGGAGTCGGTACGGTTCCGTTCATATGTGCGCTTGGGTTTATTGGAGTAGTATGGTGAAGGGCCTTTGGGGGGATCCCCGGGGGCTGGGTGTATAAGGGGCTGTTATGATCTGTTTTTCTTCTCTCCCCCAGGCCGTGTCGCATGGATCGTGGGCCATTCATTTGTCTTCTGGGCCGAAAGGAGGGCTGCAGCTCGAGCTCAGGGCCACCAGCTGGGCTTTCATCGGGACCAGTTGGCAGTGCAATGGTTTGGGTACAGGGGTTTTTGTTGGGGGGAGGTCTGCGGAAGGGTGTTCCGGATGGTAGCAGGCGGGCAACGGCCGGACCTGCTGGTGCTCCATGCGGGGGGCAACGACTTGGGCCTCACTCTGCAGCGGCGGCTGGTGAAGTGGATGAAGCAGGACCTTAACAGTTTAAGGGACCTACTTCCGGGGGTGATGTTGGTCTGGTCGGAGATTATCCCTAGGAAGCGGTGGCGGCATGCTAGGGACCCGGAGGCTATTGGCAGGTGTAGGAAGAAAGTGAATAGCTTGATGGCAAGCTTCGTGCGGAAGCTAGGGGGTGTGGTAGTTCGACACAGCGAGTTGGAAGGTGGTTTGCCAGGGTACTACCGCTCGGATGGAGTCCATCTCTCGGCAGTTGGTTGGGATCTGTTGACCCTGGGCTGGCAGGATGGCATAACTAAGGCTCTTTTTCTTCGGGGTGGCGGAGCTCAGACAGCTTAAGGAGTCAAGGTCTGAGCTTGTGGCGGGATAGGGAGCTGAAGGAGAAGAAATAGGCTCCCTAGGATGAACGTCATGGAGACGTAAAACTGTGGTCATTGGTGGTTGGTAGGTTCCGAGTCCTGTCGGTGGCTCAGAATCTGGTGGGGCAGGGGTATCCGGGTATACCCCTGCCATGGTTAATTTATGTTTGGCACTTTAAGTTGGTATGTTGGAATATGTTGATACGTATGTTATATATATATGTATATATGTTATTTATATGGGGGTCATTGCCTGTTATATTAACAGAAGGATTCGGTTACGAGGGCGGAGTATGGGGGCAATGACCCATGTTTATTGTTAAATTATTATTGCTTAATAAATTATTATTATTCAAGATTGTTTAAATAAAGCTGTGGACAAATTTTCCCATATACCTTTGTGTCAGTGAGTTATTGGGTTAGGTATGTGGGAGGGTTGTCCTGGAGTCCGACTGCCCATATGGCGACTATACACCGGTCATGTACATTGATGTACAATATGTAGGTACATCAATGTACAATATGCCTCCCTTGGTAAACTCATTAGCTTCTTTGGCTTCCAATATCATTTCTAAGACCTAAATTGGTCTTTCAGACAAATTTACTAAGTATTAGTAAATTACTAAGATTACTTAGTATTAGTAAATTATGCCCCTACTCGCTATACTGTGAGTAGGGGCATGTCTATTAAACTCTGGCTGCTCACTGTAAAAAAACAAGCAAAACACGTCCCCCCCTCCCAAGCCCCCACACGTGCCGCCAACCAGAGTGTTATGAGTCACATTACACAGTGTGGGAAAATTCCAGGGAACTTTCCCATGCTTTGTAAAATGACACAGAGCACTCTGATTGGTGGATTTCAAACCAACCAATCAGAGTGCTGTGACAGGTAAATGTAGAGACTTACCTGTCAGTCCCTTCATTTACCTGTCAGAGCACTCTGTTTGGATGGCTTAAACCCACCAATCAGAGTGCTCTGAGCCTAATTGCAGGGTGGGGCAAGGCTTTATAAGCCTTCCCCGGCCCTGTAGAGCTCAGTCTGTGCTGAGCCCTCCATGGGTGAAGATGGATTTTTTTTTTTTCGCGCTTGTTTAAAAAAAAAAATTCATATTTTTAAAGTGCGTCGGTTATTATGGCTTTTTATTTGGCCTTTTTGGGGGCTGAAAAAATAAGACTTTAGAAGAAAGAAAACATCAAATGGTAAGTTTTATTTTATTTTTTAACAGGTTTAGCTAATGGTCCCTATTTTTAGGGTGAGGGGGGTAGGTAGGGGTTCATTTTTTTTGGGACGGGGTGACTAGGGGTTTGAGGACCCTACTGGCTGCTCACTGTTTAATAGACATGCCACTACTTAGTATTAGTAAATTTGTCTGAAAAACCAATTTAGGTCTTTCAGCCTTTTTGTAGATAACTCCCTAATACCGTGGGAATTAGGGAGTTATCTACCAAGCAGCTGCAGGAGAAGTTCCAAAATTCCGAAGTGCCGAAGTTGCCGAAGTGCCAACCTGCCGAGGTCCCGAAGTTCCAAAATTACTGAAGTGTCGAAGTGCCAAATTCCCTAAGTGCCGAATTGCCGAAGTCCCGAATTTCGGAATGCCGAACCAAACCGAAAATTTTTCCCATGCACATGACTATTTCCTGACATTTTACTTATTTTTATTACTTTTACTTGTCTCTTCTTCTGCCCACATATGGAGACCAAAGACACCCAGAACTTCTACACCTCCCAAGCATTAAAGAATTTAGGAACTACAGCAGAACTTACTCTTTATTTAAGAGATACTTTCATATGAGAGTGTTTGCACAGCTGGAACAAGACTCATAGTACTTTTGTTCTTATTTTTTATTTTAATTTTATTTTATCTTACTGTATGTTGCGCAGCCCTTTTCTGTCTTTTTTCCTTGTATTATCTTAAAGCGCGGACCCATCTGTGTATTTTTATCTCATCCAGCCCACAGCTCCTCCATGTGTCTCATCCCCACTATGTGCCTCATTCTCCTCCAGTTCCTCCATGTGTCACATTCATCCCCCAGCTCATCCATGTGTCTCATCCACCCCCCTCCAGCTCCTCCATGTGTTTCATCCTCCCCCCAGATCCTCCCTGTGCTAATCCTCCTCTCCTGCCCCTCCATGTGTCTCATCTCCCCTTCCATGTGTCTCATCCCCCCCAAGCTCCTCTATGCATCTCATTATCCCCCTCCCAGCTCCTCCAGGTGTCCACCTTGTGTCTCTCCCCTATTTCCCTTCTTCTCCTGTATGTGATATCTGTTCTATCCCTCTACGAAGCATGACTGTGCTGACCGTGGAACCAGGTCCAACAGGAAGTGCTCGTTCTCACTGAGAGCACTTTCTGTCAGACCACCGTCCTCTCAGCCACGCCAAATTCTGTGACCGGCAGGAGGGAAGTGATGTGCTGTGCGCACCCCTCTTGCTAGTCACCCCCTGTAGTGACGGGCAAGGTTGCAGCTGCAACCCCTGCGACCGCTATAGTTACACAAATTTGCATGTGCAGCGACGCTGCTAGAGTATTGTGTTTAACTATAACTATTCATTTAATTAAAATGGAAATGTCGCTAATAGATTGAATCTCTATGTAGTATTTTGGTCAACCATCTAGTGATCAGTTTCTTACCTTCGTAGAAGTATCCATGTTTTCTAGGTTTAGTTTAAAGTTGCTGCTACCTATACCTGTTACAAAAAAAATAATAATTAAAATTGAATTCAAAGAATTATCATAAGATTTACAAAGTGAATTATTAATGTCGAGATGTTCTACTCCATCCTACAAATCGTTTATGTACAAACATCTCGCAGAGATGCCCTTAATCTACATTATTTCATTATATCATTCTATCATTGCTTCTGCTATCTCACCTTCAGCTCCTGTTTTTCCATAACTAATCATGTTTGGTTCTGAAACTGTCCACTCGGATTCCATATTGTCTGGATGGAGAAGCTCTGAATTTCTGCCCCTGCAAGAAAGTTGAATTTGAATTAAAAACAATGGATGCATATATTATCAATGGTCTGTCCTAGGGATCTCTGATTATATCTATTGCTGCTTTATAGTGGGTACATGTGTGACGAGAGCAACCTCGCCACGTTGCATTGGAGAAGCCTGGTTGCTTGCCTGCTGCCTCTGGATTATGGCCCAATGTTAAAAGACCTCTTTTCCCCTGCAGAAAAGAGTTATTCATGCTTTTCTGCCCGGTGTTCGGTAGATTCACAGTAAAGGAGGAGACTATATTTAAAAGAAGAAAAACTACCACAACAAGAGGACATAGTCTTAAATTAGAGGGACAAAGGTTTAAAAATAATATCAGGAAGTATTACTTTACTGAGAGGGTAGTGGATGCATGGAATAGCCTTCCAGCTGAAGTGGTAGAGGTTAACACAGTAAAGGAGTTTAAGCATGCGTGGGATAGGCATAAGGCTATCCTAACTATAAGATAAGGCTAGGGACTAATGAAAGTATTTAGAAAATTGGGCAGACTAGATGGGCTGAATGGTTCTTATCTGCCATCACATTCTATGTTTCTATGATTCAATCTACCGAACAACCGCACGAATGACTAGACCACCTGGGAGCTGGAGTGTGCCGGCAATTAGCCTCCCAGTAGTTAACAGTTAACCGCAGCTTAATTGACGAATACTGGGTGGCCGCCATTCGTATAACGAACACGAGGTCGCGGCCATTTTAAACACGCGAACGCACAGCGGTGTTCGACGCCTAACTCATGGAACTAAAAACGGACACAGTTTGGCGCGAACACCGCTGAAGCCGCCGACCTCCCTTCTTGTTCGGTGGAAGTGCACGAACAGCCCAGTATTCGGTAGTTGTACCCGACTGCACTATACCCCAGATAGGAATCCCATGGAGCTCATTCGTATGAGAACTGACTTTGTAAAGACTTTGGCTCCATGGCGATTGAACTGTATTTGTGTGGTCTGAGCGCCATTCACTTAATAATGTGTGCTCAGACCTGAGCTATCTGGGGTTATGTTAAATGTATAGTTTTATTGTAACTTGTGTCACATAGTGTATTTTAATAGTAATTCATATTTTAGTATCCCCACGTGCATAATGGTGATTTGCCTTTGACCTGGGAGATAATTGAATTACATCTCAATTATCTCCAGTGCAGAGGGGAAGAAGCCAGGATGCATTGTGGGAATATAATGTGACTGTAACAGAACTATGCTGTATGCCTGGGCCAGTGAACTAACCAAAATCAGCAGGAATTCGTCACATTTAGTGCATTTCAACCATTCGAATGGATTCGCATGAATTCCCTGTGTAAAGTATAGGTGGCCGCCATTTCGGGACTTTACACGTGGCCGCGGCCATCTTACGTGCGAACAGCGGTGTTTGCCTGTCGACGCGTGGAACTAAAATCGGATACGCAAACAGGCGAACACCGCTGAGTCCTCCATACTTCCAGAAGTTCGCACGGAAACTACCGAATCACCGGACGTTCGATTCGAATGGATGGCAAGAATTTCAGACCTTTTTACCAGGCGAACGGAGACCGACCGCAAGGCCAAAACTCATGGAACTATTTTCGGCTAGTTGGTCTGTGCGGTCGGTCAAAACTTTGGAACTCTGTATCTCCCGAACTATTCATCCGAATGGGCTGATTTTTGGACATGTTGGTCCCCTGAATGAGAGCTATCAAGCGACCTCGGATTTAAAGCTGTACCCCCTGTTTTTGGGGAACATCCAGAACTGGGGTAAAATGTTGTACGTTTTAATTATGTTATATGTTATCTGAGGGGAGGAGACGTGGGGGTGTTACCAGGTATATGATTGGGTGTTTTTATCCTCCCCCTGGGAGTATCCTGTGTGTACCTGATCCCAATAAAAGCAGGCTGGGTGTTCCAGTCCTCAGATCTTCTTGACCCTTCAAAACGTAGCCTTGTCTCGTTCTTGGAAGGGGATTATTTGGGAATGTTATTCTGCTCCTGTTACAGCTGAACCTGACTCTTACTCTGGATATCGTGAATGGGATTATACCAGCGTACTCCTCCACAGCAGCTTACAGGGAAAAAGGACGTCTCCAACGGCAGATACCCTCACTCTACCCGGGTAGCCGTTACATTGGTTGGCAGCGGTGGGATGGTCCTTTTATCCAGAGAACAAGTGCTGAATGGAGGCTCAGTACGCCAAGCTGAAAAGACCCACATTAAAGGATTTATTAGAGAGTCGTGGTAGGAGTGCCAGCAACAGACCACGGAGGGAGCTGATAGCTGACCTGCTAGAACTGGACGAAATGGATAGGTCCATGGAGGTAACAGAACCTCTTGCACCTGTCAGCGAGGATGATGAAATTTCTGCCATTGTACAGCGGAGATTAGCTTGGTATCCAGAAAGATCCACGGAGCTAATAAACCAGCTGCTCCGGGAAACAAGGGAGGAGATACAAACTAAGAGGGGACAAGAAGCGGAACTGGTAAGAGCTAGACAGCCCATTACACAGGCAGTTCCTACCCCCCCCACCCGCTGCTACAGGGAGGAAAATACCGTTCACTGCATTTAAAGCGTTTGTAGAGAATGAAGAAGAAATTGACGGATATTTAGCGGACTTTGAGAGACAATGCTCGCTACACCAAGTACCACCAGACCAATGGGTTACTATTCTGGCTGGAAAGCTCTCAGGAAAAGCAAATGAGGCTTTTCGGGCACTTACTACGGAAGATATAATGCAGTATCAACGGGTGAAAGCTGCACTACTCACCCGATATACGGTCACCCCAGAAGCATATCGCCGTCGCTTCCGGGAGTCCAAAAAGAAGGCAGTGGACTCCCACATGGAATGGGCAAACAAGATACAACGGGTGGCAACACACTGGGTGCGAGGGTGCAATGCTAACACCGGAGAAGAAATATTACAGTTGTTCCTGATGGAACATTTCTTTCAAGATCTGGCTGCAGATATACAGGACTGGGTAAGAGATCGGCGCCCTGCCAATTTAACTGAGGCAGCGCGACTAGCAGATGAGTATGCAGAGACAAGGAAGGTGAGCCAAAGTAACACACGACCAGCCCCTAGAGCAGAGTCCCGCACTACAACCTACCCTTCACGCACAGAATTTCGGGCCCCAGTACCCCAGGGCCTCCACGTCCCCAGGGGCATAACAACCATCCCCGGGAATCTTACAAAGTAACGTGCCATCGCTGCGGCAACACAGGACATATTGCCCGGTATTGCCCGTTGGGATCAGCCAATAATAACTGGAGGCGCCCACCTAACACCGAGAGCACACCGCCACGTCCAGCGGCTGCTCACTGCCTAGAAATTGAAGGAAGCCCTGAAGAGTGCCTGGGAATATTATATGAGGCCAACCCCATACAAACAGCTTCCCCAGATAATCGTCAGCATCACCGTCAGGAGGTGCGTGTGAACGGACAGATAGCACAAGGCCTAAGAGACACTGGCGCTACCATTACCCTAATACAGAAACACCTTGTAAAACCAGAACATGTGTCGAATCGTACCGTGGCTGTTCGTGTCGCAGGGGGAGCTGTTTTTCGCTTACCCACCGCCAGGATACACATAGATTGGGGAGCCGGGTCAGGAAAGACCACAGTGGGCATCATGGACAATTTACCCGCCGAGGTCGTATTGGGCAACGATATTGGCCCTCTAGCTTCAGCATTTTTACCCACTACTGCTGGTGCTTGCCCCGTGACCACCCGCTCACAGACCCGTATCGAGGACGATCCTACAACAGGTCAGGAGACCCAGGTAAGCCACAAGCAGACACCCCACACTAACATTACAGAGAGACCCATAGCTTGGGACACCCCAGAAGAATTTGGGAGGGAAACTAGGCAGGACCCCACCCTCCAAAAGTACAGGGAACTAGCTGACAGTAGGGGGGACGAGCGAGACATTTTGTATGGGAGGGGGACAGGCTATACAGATTGACCGAAGGCAGGAAGAGAGGCTGTGCCCCCTCGCAGAAGCGCCAATTAGTGGTACCCAGAAAGTACCGGTGGGAACTTCTCCGAATTGGCCACGACATTCCGTTGGCAGGGCATCTAGGGGGTAACCGCACAACCTTCCGGATCACCCAGACCTTCTTTTGGCCAGGGATCTCGAAAGATGTGCGCCGTTACTGCAGCACTTGTGATGTATGCCATGAGGGGGTCCCCATCGTACCATATGTACTGGAGATGTGGGACCGCATGGGGCACCTAGCCAGGATGGCCCGAGAGCATCTCCAGGCGGCCCAAGGCCGACAGAAACATTGGTACGATCGGGGCGCGAGATTGAGAACCTTCCAGGTGGGACAGAAAGTCCTAGTACTTAGACCCGTTAAAGGGAACAAATTACAAACCTCCTGGCAAGGCCCTTACAAGGTGGTCGCACAGATCTGTGACACCACCTATGTAATTGCCAGTAGCAAGGACGAGAGGATACAGAAGTCCTTCCATATAAACTTACTGAAAGAGTACCAGGAAAGGCCCGAAGACATAGCAGCCATATGTATCCCAGCCACTGAGGACCCGGACAGTCTCCCCATCCCGGATCTACTAGCTAACCCCGAGTCTAAAACTTTGCTGAACACTGTACAGCTAGGGGAGCGACTAACGCTCACCGAAAGAGAGCAACTCCAGCAGATGCTAGCTGCAAAAAGATTGACGTTTTCCCAGGAACCCGGTTACACACCCTTAGCGACACATTACGTAGAGACCCCAGGACAAAACCCTCTCCGACAGACTCCCTATAGAATTCCCGAAGCCGTGAAAGAGGAGATGAGAAAGGAGATTCAGGAAATGTTAAAGCTAGGAGTTATAGAACCCTCCGACAGCCCCTGGGCATCCCCAGTCGTCCTAGTCCCCAAAAAGGACGGAACGACCCGATTTTGTGTCGACTACCGACGCCTTAACGACAGAACTGTGACAGACGCATACCCCATGCCCCGAGTAGACGAACTATTAGATCGTATTGCTAGGGGA